CAGAGTCTCGCTGTGTCACCAGGTGCCAGGCTGGAGTGCAGTGGCACGATCTTGGCTCACTGTAACCTCCGCCTCCCGGGTTCAAGCAATTCTCCTGCCTCAACCTCCTGGGTAGCTGGGACTACAGGTGCATGTCCCTACGCCCAGCTAATTTTTGTATTTTTAGTAGAGAAGGGGTTTCACCATGTTGGTCAGGATGGTCTCGATCTCTTGACCTCATGATCCGCCTGCCTCGGCCTTGCAAAGTGTTAGGATTACAAGTGTGAGCCACCGCCCCCGGCCTGATATACCTGTTTTCTTAGAAAATCCAAGGGACTCATGAAAAAACAAGTAAAAAGAGAATTTTTTGCTCTGCATGAATACAAAATAAATTACAGAAATCATCATCTTCTCTCTTTTCTGGTAAAAGCCCCTAGAAAAGGAAATGGGAAGAACATTTAATTCAGAAGGCAGGTGCTATAAAAAAATTTGGTATATATTTGGTAAGAAAGTTACAGAACATATATAAACAAAATTATAAAAATATGATTGGGAAATGAAAATAAAAATTGGAAAAGCTGATCATCTTCTTAGATGAAATGACTTACTGTCATGTCAATTCTCCAAAATTTAATACATAAGTCTAATGCACTACTAATTATTTTTTGTCTTATATAAAATGCCATATAATAATTGAAAAGGGCCTAAAGTCCAATATCTATATATAAAAGTAATTGTGAATGAGTATAATTTTAAATTTGGGGCTTTTTGAAGATTTGTTGAGAATAATCAAAACAACACTGAAACAAATTCTAAAACCTTTAATCAACACATTTTACATGATAAATGTAAAATTTCGTAAAGTAGATTTTAAATACCAGTCTCTCATTTCCTTCTCAATAAAAGGTGGGATTAAGGGGTTAAGTCTAGGAGGCTGAACTTTTTTTTGTCCACTTTGGTCTGGTCAAACTTGGCTGTACATTAGAACTACCTACAGAACTTCATAAGAATGTAGTTTCCAGAGTCTAATGCAAGAGTTCCTGCAATCGTAACTTTGTAGCAAGAATTTTAGGCATCACTGGTCAACTTTATGCTACAAGGTTCATTTTTTACAGAAACCTAGAAAAGGGTATCCAATGTTTCCATTGGGAGGACTGTCATTTAAATCCTCTTTGTGGGAAATGACTCATTTCCTCTGAGAAATGAGAGTTGAAAACAGGTTTTAAAAAATAAATAAATAATATATATTCTACTGCAGAGAGAATATGCAATGTTCTCTCTACAGCAGGAGACAGTAAAAGTATGCTGAGATTAAGATCATCTATTGGTTCGAGTTTGAAATCCAACTTTGTCTCTTTCCAGTTGTGCTATCTTTGACAAATTAATACAACCTTGTAATTCTATTTCTTTATTTATAAAATGTGATAATAGTTCTTGCTTCACAGAATACTAGTTACTCACTGAAACACACTTATGATTTAATAAGTGTTAGCTGAACGCAAACAGAAACAACACAATTAAACACTCTCTTCAGCAGGAGTAAGTTGAGACGTTAATGTTACCACATGTTTTGGTAAGAGACCCACACATAGCAGGTACTTGCATATCTTGCATTAAGATTTAACATTTTGTGGCTCACACTGCAGTTTTATGAAAGGCATTAAGTATTCTCTTTCTCTCTAGCTCTTTTCTTATTAGTATTATTTAAAAAGTAATATCATTGGAATGTTCCCAGATCATGCTAGTTTGTGAATACAAATAAATTCATATTAATATCAGTGCCTAAATAAGGTTTAACAATCATCTTAAGTTTAATAATCATTCCCTTGACCCTGCACTGCCTCCCTAGGATCCATCATTTAGGGTGAGAAATCCTCAGCTGTGTCTTTCAGGTGCTCCTCCTTTACTGCTCTGGGCTCCTACTTAAGTTTCCTTGACCCTGTGTTAGCCACCAGTGTCCTTTATGAGAATATGCTCCTACTGGGCAGATCAGTTCCTATTGCTGGCAAGGCTGTATGGAAGTCTATTGCAGGTTGGGTGAGAGAATGGGTCTCTTGCCAGCTCTGTGCTGTCCTTTGTCACCAGGCCTAAAGTAGTACTTCTTAGAACTTAAATTTCACAAATGAGTTTGTGAAGATGATTATTTAGCTTCTGGCCCTAACTTCTTTCCCCAGCAGGCTCAAAATCATTTGAGGACTCTGAGGAAAGCAAAGAATGCAGGCATCACACCATTCTCTCCACTTGTTTTGACAATTACCCGAGGCTGCCAGCACAAAAATTCCCCTTTCTTCATCCAGAAACGTGTTCCAAGAATGTCAGCTTATACAAATAGATGGCTGCAGATGTCACTGGCCCATCGGGATCATAAATCATAAGGTTCTAAATCCCTTTCTATATTCCTATCATCTAGCATCGGACATAAAGCACAAATTCAGAAGGCGCCTCATCTGTTTGTCTTCTGTTCCTGCTGTTCCCTTTGAAAAGGAAACAACTGCACAAGGAGAGAAGAATCACACATTTCTGAGCCTGAGGCCAGTCTGGCCCACTGGGGGACCCAATGCTCCAGCTCCTTGGCAACATGGAGCTCTGGGGATTTCTGCTGTACTGGTGCTGATGTATGAACCTTTACAACAACCATTAACATAATAACAATGCCATATCATACGGAAACAATTTAATTTTATTCCCGATTTCTTAAAAAGCTTTTTTGAGGTGATGTTAAATGTTGCTAATACCTCTGTTACTTAAAAAAAATTTTGATAAGGTATATGAGGATCCATTATAATAGGTTCATTGAAAAATTCTTGCCCTTTCCTGGGAATGGAAGAATGATAACATGTATTATACTAATAGTGTATGCGTAGTGCAAAGTGTAATATAGTGAAAATGATGATGTAAAGATGATTAACAAGGCAGCAGTGGAGAGTTCCTCTTCACCCTCATATGACTCTGACGGTATATTGTGCCGCTGATATTCGGCTAGTTCTGGATAAAGTCTAGCTTCTTTTTCGTCACTTTTTTTTTTTTTTACCTGAAGGTGATGCCTACCCTAGGTACCTAACTGCCTCCTCTCCACTCTAAAACCTATTTACACAAAGGAAGGTTAAATAGACCCACATTCAAGTTGGAATCATAGATGTGACATTGTTTCACGTATACGGTTCCCAGAGGAATTCTAGGGGAAAAAACAAGTCGAAAACTCCAGGTGGCAATGTCTGCTCTGCCGCTTATTATCGTGAGACTTTAACCCAGCATGACAAACCTTGATCCCAGTTCTCAGATATTACAAATCTCACCGGAGTTTTTAGAGGAATAAACGAAGAAATGAAAATGAGACCATTCTCAGTACAATGGTCTATAGAAAGTGCTCAATTTATGTTGATTTACTCAACAAAGGACAAAACTTTAATACAGAGAAAATCACTTTAAATTGCAAAATTTTAGATTATTTGGGATGCATTTGGAGGGCCTTTTTTTTTTTCTTTTACCTTTAATCACATTTTTTAGGCACTCTCCCGTTTTTGTTTTTTTTTTTTTTTTTTTTTTTTTTTCCCTTACAGATAAAACTGTACACTTGTCCTGATCTTCACCATGGTCTGAAACGAACCTCTGTGAGCCCAGTGTGACAGAGGTAGGGACCACAAAAGTCTAAGGAATTCATGTGTTGGGACTTCTTCCCGTTCTATACAATTCATTTTATGTGAGGACATGATTGCCTTTCCGTTTTTAAGACACTTATCTCTAAAATGGTGAACAATGAACCTCAAATATTCTTTAATTTCTGCAATGATCTTTTGTAAATCTTTATCTTGAAATGGCTTCCTAAATCTACATTTTTTTTTTCCATCTGCCGTGGTTTAAAATTTGCTTAGCAGGAACTCTAGTTCAGAACTGTCCCTCACCTCCCTGGATCTACAAAGCACCTGCGGGATGGGGCCCCATCTGATTTTATTTCCTAACTTTCGAGCTGTTTATTCTTTGCTTCACAAAGGTGCTTAAACGATCTGAAGACTCTCTTCAAAGATTCAAGAAGCTGTTTTGTGGGAAGATGTCTGTGGTCAGAGGCAAGAGGAGGATCCGGCGCTTCGGGCCAGGAGGTAGACGGAGGTGGCAGGAGGCGCTCAGGCCAGCGCCTCTCGCATCTTTGAGGAGGGGCGCCGCCCAGGCGCTCGCGTTGCTAAGTCCTCTGTTTGCAGCGTTCTGAAGGAGACCCGAGCGGGACCAAGGCAAACGGGGAGCGGGGGTGGCGCGGGAAAGCTCGAGCAGTGTCTTCAGTAAATCTCCAGAAGCGGCAGCGGACCCTCGGCTGGTCCCTCCCGTCCCCAAGCACTCCTGACTCCGAGGGGGCAGAGGATTCCCCGCGTCCTTGGTTCCTCCCAACCGTCGTCGGCCCCCGGCGCCCGCGCCTCTCGGCACGTCGTACACCCCCGGCCGCGGCAGGCGAATGGTCTGGCCCGTCGGTAGCTGCCACCCGCTCGGACAGCTACAGCTGTTCCAGGCGCTCCGTGTCGAGCGCCGGAGTCCGGAGCCGTGGCTGCCACGGGCGGTGGGCTGGCGGAGGAGAGCTCCGGACCACCAGCGCAGGCTGCCGAGCCCGGGCGGCGGCCCGCGGGGAAGCTTCGAGGCGCGGGAGCAGCCGGGGGACCGCCTGCAGTGGAGACGCGAGGACTCGGGCTGGGGTTTCCTCACCCTGGTGAGTACCTGCTGCCACCATCCTCCCCCGATCCCCTTCTACGTCCCCACGCCCAAAGGTCCACCCTGGCCCTCATCCCGGGCCCCCAACCCGGGACCATCACTGCCCTGGGGACACTGTCCCCGCTGGGAGCCGCGGAACGAGGAGCTGCTGCGTTCGTACAAATGATTCAGCACCATTCGTGCCCCGAGAGGTTTGGGCAGGATGGGGGAGGGAGAGGGCGGAGGGGACGGGGTCAGTTGCCGTGATCTCACCTCAGTTTTTAGGCACCAGATGGAAGACTCGGGCAGGCGGGGTCGGGTGGGGTGAACGTGGAGGCTCTCTGCTGGTTATTCTATAATTCCGTCGTTTTCCCACGTCTTGGTATAAACCTTCGTGAGTATGCGGGGCATTCTTGAAAGTGTGTCACATTAATGCCTTTTTCGCACACGCGAGTGAAGTCTAGGGCCCTTGTTGATACCTCTCACTTTCTACACGTCTTGCTCCATTGGATGCCTGACTCATGCCATCATCCACTTTTATCACATCGCAGCATTCCCTCGACTGATGTGAAAGATACCCTGTGAAAGTTGCCTTGTATTCTGTGTGGGTTTGCTTGATACTGGCATAGAAAAAAAAGATTTAGGGAAGGTAGGAAATAATACATTCAGAGTCTAGGCACTTACTTTTATATATCGTATTTTATTAAGTCATCGTAATAACCCAGAACCAAATGTGGAAACTGAGGAGCAGGGAAGTTAAATTACATTCTCAAGGTCACAGGACAGGAATTCGAATACAGGTTTTCCTGACTCTGTATAGTTCATGGACTTTCCACTGTATTAATGAAGTGTGTCCAAGTATACATATATATATGCTCTTATTAGATATTAAACATAGAATCAATTAATTGAGGAGTAATCTCAAACAGCAGCAACAACCTGTAAACTTTCTGCATATGGAATTATTGCTCTTTCAATATGAAAGTAAGATGCTTTGAATCGTCAAAAATGTATTTTCTTAGAAAGCATATGGCAAAAAATATGTGAACAACACTACAGAGTGAGGTCATAACAGGAGATGTTCAACACATTTTTAGCAGTGACATGTGGATGCTTAAGTGTTGGGTTGGAGAAATTGATTTAAAAAGTAGGAAGAACTCGAAATCTTTTTCTTAAGTGTTAGGGAGAAATTTACAATAATAATAGCTACTTAGTTCGTTAGATATGTGACTGAACTGCGCCCCACAATAGGGTGACAGATGCACTCATACTAAGATAATGTTACTTGATTCATTACAACTCTGTGATTTTGCATAACAGGTGATAACTCTATTTTACAGACTAAGGAACAAAATTCAGAGAAGGTTCAAGATCACTCAGTAAGTGGTGGAATTTGGACAAGCCTTGACTGTTAGTCAGTTTAGAAATATGCATGTTGTAGTAAAATGTAGTTTTTATATAGGGAAAACTGAATTAGTTTGTTGTTACCCTGCCCTTCAGAGACAACAATTACATTGATCTTCTATGGTCCTCCTGTAAAAATAATGGATGCTAGGTCTTTCTTTGCCTGTTGATGGGTCTTTTGACTTGCTTTCATTAGGGACTTATGGATTTTCTCTTAAGAAATACATCTCTTGTTTATGTCTCAGAAGGCAGGTTGTTATAGTAGAGATGCTTATTATCTCTAAATACTCATCATAGTATTTGATGATAGGCAGGAATAGATTCCATCATTAGTCCATCATTTAGTCCATCATTTCTAAAGTATCGAGCCATTTGCATTGGAGAATTCTTTTTCAAGTTAATGGGAATGTTGATAAAGTCCACTGCCTAAATAAGGACATAAAATGGAGGCACAGATTTATATTTGTTGTTCAAACAAGACTGTGAGAAGTGGAGTCTTGTGAAAAGTCTTGAGTTTGATTCCTAAAAGGTCATTTGATTTTGTTCTTTACATGGCTATAACCTATATTCTGAACCTTGGCATGACATCTTGCAATCCAATCTGTTTAATCCTAAGGGGGACAGCAGAACTGGTATGAATGAATAAGCAAAAATACAATATCACTGCTATTAAAAAAAAAAAAAAAAGGAAAGTGCATGGCCTGGTGATGGATGGTCACCAGCAACGTTTTAAAACAGAGGCAGCACATTTTACTTAGATGACATCACTGAGAGTATTAATATAATACCAACTTGGCTTTAGAACTGCTCTCTCTCTCCTTCTCTCTCTGTTTGTCCAATGACTATAGTCTGTAAACCATCTAAATTCCTCACTTCAAGAAATTTAAAGTCTAGCAGGAGAAATATTTACTTACACGTGAGTAATTAACAAATAACTTAGAATTGGCTTAATACCAGAAAAAGGTGGTACAGACTTAACTGCTATAGCAATACCTTAAGAGAAACGAGAAATAGTAGAGCCTTGGATGATCAGAGGATCAGAAAAACCTTCATGGGTTGAAGTGAATTAAATCAGTCTCAGAGTTGGGAAGTTTTCTGATAGGCAAAGAGAATGCCACACAAAGGTTCAGATAAGAAGTGCTCATGTGCTGTTTGGATAGATGGTGAAAGATCATGAAGAAACTTGAATGTCAGGCAGTGAGATGTTTTTGATCTGTTAATCCTTTCTCTTTCTTACATTTTCCATATCCTTTGCCTTGAGTCCTCTTTCAGGAAATGGTCTGTTTCCTGGGTACTAAAAGGATTAGTTGTCAACTAAACCCAGAAATGATTTTCTGTGCAAGTACAATTTTTCCTGTTCCAAAGGAATTTGCCTTTTAGCTCTGGCCCCCATTAGAGAATTATGAACAATTTAGAAACTACAAGAATACAAAAAGGAAAAAAGCACCCTCATAATCTCACCAACTAAAGACAATCACTATTCATTTTTGACATTTCTTTCCACTTTTTTCATGTGTAGTTTTAATTATGCTATCTATATTACTTTCATATTATTTTTAAATTTAAAATTCTACAACTTCAGTTTTCATTTAATTACAATTAGGCTTAATACTAGTTTTAAAATGCCTAATATGCTTAAAAATGCCTACATAATTTTCCATTTGGTAGATGTATATCATTTCCTAATGATTCCTCATTGTCACTATTGATGGCATCACAATAAACAATTGTTGATGATAATAATAGCACTGTGATGAACATCTTTGTGCATATCGTCTTTTTTTTTTTTTTTTTTTTTTTTTTTTCTAACTTAGACTCTCAGAAATAAAATGTCTGGGTTAAAGGGTATGAGGTCTTGGAGTTGCACTATTCTAAGCAAGTTTTGAAACCACTGGGTTCTTATGTTAGGTCATTTTTTCACTGATATAAACAAATACCTGAACTAGGTAACTTATAAGAAAAGAGGTTTAATTGGCTCACAGTTCTGCAGGCTGTGTAGGAAGCATATCAGCATCTGCTTCTGGGGAGGCCTTAGGAAACTTCCCATCATGTTGAAGGGGAAGGGGAAGGAGGCATGTCACATAGCGGAAAGCAGGAAAAAGAGAGAGAGTGTGAGGGGGTGGTGCCACACACCTTAAATGACCAGATCTCATGAGAACTCAGAGTGAGCACTCACTTACCACCAAAGGGATGGGCTAAGCTGTTCATGATGGATGTGTCCCCCTGATTCAGATATCTCCTACCAGGTCCCACCTCCAACCTTGGGGATTAAAATTCAACATCAGATTTGGATAGGGACCTATATCCAAACTATATCATTTCCCCATGTTGCATTTAGATCACTTACATGTTGATTATAGAATATTTGCCTATTAATAATTAATAACACCCAATCTTGTCTGTGGCTCCTCAGATTATACTCTTTCAAGCAACTTCTTTTGATTAGAAATACTGATTAAATCATGGGGACTGGGAGAAAGGCAGGCAGTTGGTGTTAATGAGGAGAGAAGATGTTAATTTGGAGAAGAGTCTTGGTAAGAGTGAGCAAGAGTTTATAGTCAGAGAAGGAGAATATGTGATAGACTATTTTCTGGTTCCAGTGTTGTTTTTGTGGACATCACCTATAAACCTCTGCACTCCCTCACCCACAATACACACCATGTCTATCTCCTTCAAATTTCAGCTTCTTCCATTCTTCTGTATCAGATTCCCAGGTCTCCAGCTTCAGTGTCCTGGTATTGCAAGGCACAGCTGTGAGCTCACTTTTGCACTCTAATTTGGGGAATTCACAAAGGAGAGAGAAGGAATATGGGACCTCTGCTTAGGTCTGAGCAGTAGTCCTGGGCAGAAGGTATAAGGTGTAAGGGAAGCACACTTGACAGACATTAAAGAGCCCTCATGCCTCCCCTGTACATTTGCCAGAGATGACCTTTGAGAACAGTGATTGGGAGATGCATAACGTTCCCAACATCTCTTAGCATTCAGATGCTCCCTTCCCCTTGTCCCCAGTATCCCTCCACCAGAGGAGATCCCCCTCATGGAGGAGAGAAACTGTGCCTCAGTTTCCTCTATCCATTGAAGGGATACATGGTACTACCTTCTTGCAATGAGAAAGGCAGGGGCCCAATGTTGGACAGGTACTTTGGCTGGGCTCCTGACTTCCTCTTCCAGGTTCTTCCCTGAGCTTCCTTTCTGTCCTGCCTCCACTCCCTTTCAAGGCTGGGAATCCATTGAGGTCACAAGGCTGGGAATCTATTGGGTAGGCAGGCCTTTAAGCATCCCTGAGAGCCAGTGGAAGCAGAGCCAAGGCAGATGAATGTGCCTGAGGGCACAACTAGGGAACAGAGAGGCAGGTTCTTATAATACGCCATCAGTCTTGAAAGACTTGAAACAATGAAAGCAAAAGCATCACATTACAAAACAAAAAAAGGATTTCCACCCCATTTTTCAGGTCCTGAAAGAGGATTTCTGATAGAAGTTGAACATTAACATAGGCAGAGTATTTTAGGTAGAATTTGTCCTGTGCCTAGCTGAAACCTATTATTAAAAAGTTTGTAAGCTCTTAGAAGGTGGTAAATCTATCTCCATTTCTCTCAGGCATTATCTGTCAAAATT